TGCCGCAATCTCTTCTCCTCCATTCTCCTCTCGGGATCTTGGGCACGCACGCACACGCGCCCAGCGTGAGTTTTAAGCCACCAGGTCCGGGATGCAAACCGCGGTCGACTACGTGGGAGTCCAGTGACATAGCCATTACGTTAACTGCTGGTTCCCTTATTTTTTTGAAGCTGACCAGAGAGAATAACATTATTAATATCAAGGACAGTCTATATTATTTGTTTATTATAAAATTTGTTTATAATAAACAAATTTGTATTAATTGACAAAATTCAAGGTATAATAATTAAGTTTAATTTTTTTGTAATACATGTATTATTAGAATGTTTTTTGGATGGGGGAATAACGTTTCACTTAGTTGAGATTCAAATATGCCCTGTCATCAAAATTGACTGCAAAATTTCTTCTATAAAAGTAATATCTAGTCAGCCCTTGGTATGGTGGTTAAGGCAGCTAGATACCACATGGCCGGCTGCGTGGTTCAAATCTCAGACCCAGGTGCTTGAAAAACATGCTGGGCGCATGCGCGCTCATGCCCAAAATCCCTAAGGGAGGAAGAGAGAGAGAGGAGAGAGGACTGTGGCATGACCATTCTCCATGGGAGTGCTTTCTCGCCCCACCCCACACTCTGGCAGATTTAAACAAAAAACCCAAAACGTATTTAATTTGGGGCCATATGATAAACTATTGGTGGTCCACATTGGGCCCACAGGCTTTATGCAGTTTCCCAACCCCGCTCTGTGGGTTAAATAAATCAGGTGAAAGTGGAGAAGTTTTAAATTCAGATAATATAGTAAGTTACATGCATAACAAATATGTGTTAACCCACACTGTGTATTTCTATATCAAAAACAAATGTAATTTGCTTTAATTGGCTCTTCTTTATCCTTTAATAGGAATGATTGATAGGTGTCACCATGCTATTTGAAATGCAGTGTTTTCATAGTGAATGATATTAAAGTGACTCAGTGGAAAAATGATATTTTACATGATTCATGGTTATATAATTTTGACCTTAGGCTTTGGTGCATAAAACCAAGAATTTCGGGAACCAGCGGTTAGCATAATGGCTATGTCACTGGACTCCCATGTAGTCGATCACGGTTCGCGTCTCGGACCCAATGGCTTACAAATCACACCCGGAGCGCGT